CAAAGTAGCTAAAACTGTACAATGGAAAAAAGAAAGCATCTTCAACAAATGGTGCTGGCATATAGGCTAGACATTGTTGATGCATTTAATGCCCATATATGTTGTATATAGTTACTGTAGTCATTGTCTGCAGTTTTTGTGATATTAATTATAACATTCTTTTTGTTATTCAACAAAAAGTGGGTGATATTTTGTTTGTGCACTAACAAATAAAACTTGCTTGGAGTCAGAGGGTAGAGCTAGGCACTAGTTAATAAGAGAGGTCTGTATTTCTGTATAGACAGACAGACAGGAAGTGCTATATTTGGTCAGAGATTGGAAGTGACAAGGCAGGCAAGGCAGGGAGAAACAGGGTATCAGTCTCTTTGACTGGGATGTTTGGGAGGTAAGGTATGGTAGTTGTTTGCTCCTTTGTCTCTCTGATATCTCAGCATTTGCCCCTATATTTGACTCTGGCCTTTTAGAAAGTCAATTAGACATCATAAAACAGAGATCCTCTGTATGCCTGCTATGGTTGCTTAGCTTGGAATGTTATTGGGACGCCTAACTGTAGAATTTGTGATGTCTCTGACTCTTTTGCCTTTTCTTGGGACCCTTTTCCTTCTATTGGTCTACCTTGCTCTTCCTTCACATGAGGGATTTTGCCTAGTTGTAATTATAACTTGTTAGGCTGTGTTTGGTTTGGTTGATATTCCTGGAAGGCCTATTCTTTACTGAAGGGAAACACTAGCAATTTATCTGGGAGAATGGGGATTGGAAGATATTGGAAGGAATGGGAAAACAGAGAGCGATTAGAAACATAGTAACAGAACATCCATCCAACAAAGACAAACTGAGACATTAGCACCTAGACATTCAATCACATCAAAGGCAGATAACTGAACACCAGGAAAAGAACACAACCAGCAACAGCAGAACAATGAGTCACTGCGGTTCAACACACTTGAAGTACAATTAACTTAAAACCAACTTTATAAACATCAAAGTCCTGGGAGGCAGAACCAGGCAGATTTCTGTGAGTTTGAGACCAGCCTGGTCTACAAGAGCTAGTTCCAGGACAGCCTCCAAAGCCACCGAGAAACCTTGTCTCAAAAAACAAACAAAAAACATCAAGGTCCTAAAAGAGGAAGTGAATGGATTCCTTAAAGAAAGAAGAGAAAGGACAAAATTGGAAATTGAGAAATCACTCAAAGATTTTTAAACAGTTGATAGAAATGAATTAATCTGTTCAAGACCTTTAAATGGAAATAGAAGCAATTAAAAAATACAAGCTGAAGGAATTCTGGAAGAGAAAATCTAGGTACTTGAACAGGAAATAGAGAGGCAAGTTTCACCAAAAGAGTATAATGCATGGTCCAAGGCAAGACTAAAATATGGCAGGGCAACAACAAGGGAAGAGCACTGAGCTGAGCTGAGCAAAGTCTTTACCACACTGATGAAATTCATAGTGTTTCTCTCTGGCATGTGTGTTTTTATGCATTTGAAGATGAATATGGCGTAGGTATGTTTTACAATATTGATTACATTCATGGATTTTCCCTCCGGTCTGTGCTCTTTCATGACTTAGAAGCTGATTGTCATATCCAAAATATTCATGACATTGAATATATGCAGAAGGCCTCTCTCCTTTTGAACTACTTTCATGTCTGTAAAGGATAATCGACACATGTAAAAGCTTTACTATATTCATGACCTCTGATGAGGAGTGGACTAGGGATATACTAGGGGGAAAGAAGGGTGGGAGGATGCAAGGGGGCAAGAGGAGGGGTGGGAGAGAGAACTGGGGTTGGAATGTAAAATGAACTCATGGTTTAAAAAATTTTAAAAACTTAAATATTTATAATTAATTTTACAATTTTGTCTAATTTTAATAACTAATCAGGTATTAAGCTCATTTCACTTTGTTTACATTCATGGTGTACCCTTCATTAAAGGTTGTTTTCCATATTTGAAGCTTTTCATGCTATGAAACTTTATTGCCTGGTTTACAATTATTGCATATTTTTCTCCATGAGATTTTTTTCATAATTATGGTGAACAAAAACAATTCTTACATTTATGGCACTTTTATCATTGATAAATTTTTCTCTATTGTGACTCAAACTACATTGACAAGATGAATCAAGACAATGGGAAATATTTCCTCCTTGCTTGTACATGTAGAGTTTTCTGCAGAATAAAAATGAAGCTGGAAAATCAAGCACTTGTAAATGTAAATCATGTTCAACAATTCTGCTAAATACACAGGTTACTACATATCTTCTAATTGTTCTGAGATGGAGAGAAATTCATTGCTCCTTTTCATGTCCCTGTCTTCATATGGTTTGCATTTTGAGTGCCATAAGACATACCTACTAAAAGAAGAGTAAGAAATAAAAAGGTTTCCACACTGAAATAATGGATTTTGTAGTTGTGTTCTTCATGGACATAACGTACAGGGATTAAGGATGTACATATTCACCCCCAACTAAAATCATGATTCAAACTATCTATCTGACTGTACTTAGCAAAAATCAGAACATTTATATGAGTAACAATAGCTTTAATATGAACTAATTGCTGATGAGAATGTGTTGGAAATATAATTAACACATTTTCAATGTGTATACCTTCTATAAAATGAGTGGTATGAAACTTCATGGATTTGCAATTCTCATCAGCACACCTCTGGTTGAGCTATGACTCAAATGGTGTTAAGGCAGTCATATCTTGTCTTCCTTCCTAAAAGAGGACTTGCAAACATAATGCAGTTTCTACTTGATAAGGATTATGATCTCATGACAATTTAATGATAGTCACTGCACTTTATGATGTGATTATGTACACTGATGCTTTTCTTTGCAAATTCCATATACATTAAAGTATCTTCAGAGGCAAATTTATAAAAGCAAAAACATAAAAATTACCTTGCATGCCTTTGAGAACTTTGGTGATGTTCTTTGATATTATCATCTTCCCATTTGTAGCCTAAAATATAGCATCAAAAATGTATGATATGTTATTGAATATTGCTTGAAATTTAACTGTCTTCAGTGATCCTTAGAAACATGACTGATTTATTTCCTTGGTCTTCTTCATTCTCATTCTAAATTACAAAAGATCATCAATAACCAAGAAACAGTTGTCCCCTTATTATGAAGAGTGAAAGAAAATACACAGAATTACCTATAGCCTTGAGGTTCATATAGGTCTCCAGCATCACATCTTTGTAAAGATTCTTCTGTGAAGGATCTAGCAAAGCCCACTCTTCCTGAGTGAAGTTGATATGCAAATCTTGATAGGTTACTGCATACTACAATATGCCATACATGTAAAAAACAAAAACGCATGATAAGGCAACACTGTAAATGTATACTATCTTCCACAATATACTCATATATTGATGTACTTTACCTGTACTTACTCTATGACACAGGTATTATATATAAGTCACTTAAGAAGGAGCCTGATGAGCCGGGCGTTGTTGGCGCATGCCTTTAATCCCAGCACTCGGGAGGCAGAGGCAGGCAGATCTCTGTGAGTTCGAGACCAGCCTGGTCTACAGAGTGAGTTCCAAGACAGCCTCCAAAGCCACAGAATAACCCTGTCTTGAAAAACCAAAAAAAAAAAAAAAAAAAAAAAAAAAAGGAAGGAGCCTGGTGTGGTTAAACCTCTATTATTTCTGAATGCTCAGAATGGTATATTGTATCACAAGAGAATTACCTAATAACAGACACAGAGAGACATGCAAACAGATCAACAGACTGAGTCTACTTCAGAGAGAAATTGGACAATTATATCACATAATTGGACAAATGTAACAGAAAAACTGTAATAAACCTTCATATAAATTGTTGGGGAAGTCCAGTGTATATGTCAATAAAGCACTGTTGGGCAATAGGGAAGCAACATAGGTGGGACTAGGAGTCCAGAAGTATTCTGAGTAGGAGAAACACAGGGAGTCAAGATGTAAATGCCACAGGGATAAGAAGCTCGAAAATGCCAGGCGTTGGTGGTACACACCTTTAATACCAATACTTGGGAGGCAGAGGCAGGTGGATCTCTGTGAGTTTGAGGCCAGCCTGGT